CTGAAAATGCAATCAGACAAATTCATTTTTTTATTATTATTGATTACTTATATTTAAGTCCCAGTGGATGCATATCCCAAGCAGAAAAAATTAGAATGCAATAATAACAGAAATAAATTACACCCCCGATGCAATTTTATAGTAATAAAATTAAAACTATATGAAATATTTTAAAATAAATACTTTTATTTAATAAACACAGCATTAGAGTTGCTTTATTTGTCATTTTTAGACAGCAGATTTTAGGCAAATGCCTATTTTTCCCTTAGCATATACATGGCTAAGATTTTGCACTAACTACTACAGTGAAAATTTCTTCGATATCAAAAACTTCTGCCGCTTTAGCAGACATTGCAGTTTGTGTAACTAAAGCCAAGAAAATTTTGAATGACATTTATGTTCAGAACAAGTTCGTGTACAGTACTGTACATCAAGTGTTATTTCACATTCATTGCAGATACTATTACTGCTCTTGAAAGTAGCGGGAAACCTATATATAAACAAATTGATCTCGCTGAACAGAGCAAAGCAGAAACTTTGTGATGCACTGCTGCAAAAAAAGTGAAAAAAGAGTTGAAAGCCATGCTTCCAAAGAGACTTGGATTAAAGTTCTTGTTTATTGTGGATGATATTTTGGCATGAAAGAAGAGCAAAACTGAAAGTGAATTCCCAGTTCATCTTCTTCCAAGGTTGAAATAAGGATTATATGCTCTTTCTCTGCGTATAAATTAATTTTCAGTGATAAACGTTGCAACTTTCCTATTGAAAATTTGGAAAAAGTGCTTGTAATATATTACGAAGCTAACTATGGGAAACAGAGCGAATAAAAAATGAAAAGATAATTGTTTTTCTACTTTTGTGTTTGCATAATTCTGAATACGTGCATTTTTGTTTGGAATACATATGTTAAAAAATTCATCGTCTTGATAAGTAGGTAATTGTTCATTGTGCAAATTTTGACCGCCTATTTTTTGTTTATAAAGCCTAAATGACACAATTTAAGAGCTTATTTTAAGCACCTAAAATGCCACTTTTTTAAGGGCCTATATGTCCGCTGTCTAGTAAGTCTGTAACTGTATGAGCACTGCACACGAAGTGATTGCCGCCCGTCACTGCGGCCTCAGAGTGTTTGGCATGTCGCTGATAACAAACATGTGCATCAACGAATATGACTCCACTCAGACGGCAAGTCACGAAGAGGTGCTGGATACAAGTGCCAAACGCAAAAGTGATATGGAGAAACTTGTCAGCAGACTTGTAGCGAGAATTAACACTGTATAACTACTTCAAAGTACCTGCCAAAAGCATTATTTATAACCAAAAAGCAGATTTAAGCTATAAAACTGCTTGATGTATCATTCCTTGTGTAAGAGATTTTAATGAAACTTAAGCCCAAGCTTAATTATTCCATTTATTGTACTAAATGAATTGTCAAATGAAAAACTATAGTATCTGTAGTGTAAAGAAAACTGTACAGAAAACTGTAGTGTCTGTAAGTAAGTAAATACCATATTTACTCGCATATAAGATGAGGTTTTTATTCATTTAGCACATTCCTAGGTTGTTCTATATGTACGAGCGAATGATTTTTTGTGTTTTTGCAAATAATTTTCGTGAACCGTGTATTTGCATTTTTTACAGGATGCTTACTCTCTTGTATTTAAAAACAAAAGTATTTTATCTGGATTGCTAATGTTGATCTTTTGATATTGATAATATTAAGATTTTGTATGAATTCCAGAAATGTAAATTAAAATTGTTTAAAGTGTGGTTGTGATTCATTCCATTATTGAGAAGGTAACTCTAATTTTTAAAAATTTAGATTCTTGCTTTATTTATTAATACTGTAATATTGAAAAATTTGAAACTTATTGTGTTAGTATTATGTGAAGTTTATTCAGATCTTTATATAGAAGACATTAAAAAAATCTATAAAAAAACATAAATTCCAAAATTTATTTATTTATTACTATTATATGGTAATAAATAAATAAAAGACTGCTGTAATTAAAGATGACTATATGCTATAGATGTAGATAATAAATTAACAAAATATAATTTAATAAATGTTATTTTAATATAGGTTGATTTAAGAACTTGGAAGCCAGTTCTAGAATATCCAGAACATGTGAATGATTATTTGAAATTACCATTCAGTATTGACGAAGAAGCTAATGTCTTGTGTTCAGTGGGTCAGGACAGAAATACAAGATTGTGGTCTCTAAACGAAGGGAAATTATTACATTCGATAAGACCAGATTACCCAGTTTTGTCGGTCAGTGATCAACCTATGGCATGGTATTCCGCTTCTTGGCAGTTATCACCCCAAAAATCAGAATCTTGTCTTGTAATGACAACACAGAATGCTATATTGTTGTATAAATAGATTGATTACACCATTTTAAATTGCCTTTAATTAATTGAATGTGATAAACTTGTTAAGAATAAATTATACATAAATATAATGTGAAGTTATCTTTCTACTTTAATATTTTCTTCTATAAATAAGAATGTTAAATATAAATTTACAAAGTGCAAGATTATAATGAAATATTTTATGTACAATAAAATAAATATGATGCAAAATTAAATATTTTACTATTATATCAATATTTTTCAACTTGTTTTTTTAAATAAAACATGCATGTTTTATGTACTGTACAATAGTGATATATGTATAAGGTTTTTATATAAATTTTAATATGGAAAATAGAGATTTAATTCTAAAGAGCTTATTAATTATTAATTTTTCCTTTATAAATTAAATAATAATCCATTTCTGTAAGCAAGAAAATCCAACTGCGAGTTGCGTACTTTCCCTGCAAGAGTTAAAAATTGTGTGAAACTCCATCTGTTATGAGATTTTATTTTTAAAATGTTTTATATTATTATATTACAAAACAAAAACAAAAAAAAAAAGCTTAATTTTGAGGGTAGAGATGAGTTTCATATAAAAAAAATGTAAATGCTAATACCAAAAACATCATTAAGTCTGATACCACTCAAGATATGACATACTATCTCTTGCCAAGAGGGGCTGGCCACATAGAGTTTTCTCCACGTCTGTAACGCCTGAATAGGGGCCAGTTACCCTTAAAAAGGCAACCTTCCTAGGCAGATTGCACAAGTGTTGCATTGCCGCAGTGTAACAAAACAAGTAAACAAAACTCTCCACTTCGTGACTTTCATAGCATCACTGCCCCTGTATTCCAGAAATTTTCGACAAAATGCTGGAGTAAGTTTCAAAGTGGGTGAACAAAATCGTACCCTCCCCGTACAGAAAGAACAAATGTTTGCATTTCTCTACGTATCAAGGTCCCTAGTCCAAAAATCAAGGGTCATTTTTAACCGATCGTCACACTTTCCCTGTGATATATACTATAATTTATAACAGCCAGGAAAGTAAATTCGATAAATAATAGCTTTAAATATCGGTGAAACGAAACAATTTATAGTATGTAATAGAAAACATTACAGTTATAATTTTGTTTTACACAATTTTTAAAGTTCAATTATTCTTGAAATTAATTTTAAAAAATGTATATTGTTTGCATTTAGCGTTTTCAAAAAACATTTACTGCTTATGACGTTTTTTGCAACTACTCGCTGGCATACATTTTAAACGGAAGGAAGGAAGTAAAAAAAAAAAAACTAATAGCAAGAGGTTTCAGCAACAGAATCCAGATTTCGTTCAGATTGTGTTTTAAGAAACTCCATGGAAAAAAGTTTAACTTCCGCAAAACACGGAAAAGCTTTTAGAAATCGATTGCAGAATACTTTATTGAAAAATGTCGAGAAATATTTAGTCTATAGGCAAAAAATACTGTTATTGCTTGATCCATTAAAACAATCTTGACATTTAAACGCTAATTACAGCAAAATAAAAATATTCTACAACTATTAATAAGTAAATAATGCAAAAATTAAACTCGTATACTTACATACATACTTTTCTATCATTTTTCATATGTTAT